GGAAGCAAACGTCCAAACAAAATATTTGTGTGAACTTGACAAGTGTTGTCATTGTCACAGGTACAGTATCTACCACACTGTGAAGGGAACATGCAAATTATCATCACGATAGGATAATCTGTTTCTCTGTTGGTCTTTGGTCAATTTTGCTCTGTGTTGAACACGCCACGTCCTTTTTATTTCGTGTTGTACCACGCAGGTGCAATACATGGGGGCAGCACCTGGATCAAAACTGCAGTGGTTTTTCTTTTTTTCTTCAGTGAATACTCAGAGTTCATTTCGATGTCAAACACACGAACGCTCTTTCCTCCAGTGGGTGACGTAAATCTGTGCCGGGGACGAAGGGATGGGGGATTACTTACATTAAAAAAGGAAAAAAGGCCTGCTGTGGAAATTCGAAAAGCGGTAAAACTAAAAATATCTATTGAATATTATTTTGATTTATTGTTAAAAAGTTCGGGAAATACCTCAAAATCCACCTTTTCTTCTTAACGCGGAAAATAAGGGGGGGTGGTCCGATAGCCCACTCCTAGTGAAAAAAAACTGAGGGGGGGTTCCCCATCTCCCAGCATTTATGTCCCATTTCTGTTAATTTTTGATAGGATGTGACAGGGAAGTGCCACTTTATAAAGAACAAGATAACTGCAAGTGCTGTTGTTTCACTGAAAGCACAGCCTCTGTGCTTATTCACATGGGGTAAAATGTTACGAGTGTGCAACCGCTGGTAGACATTTTTTGTAACCATTGAAGAACTGCTCACACCACTGACCCGCTTTACTGTGCTTTGTGCATGTCTCACATTGACGCCATAATTATTGTCTCTTCTTCCGTTCTTCAACATTCAACGGAGTCTGGTAACAAGACCAGACCCCTGCCAACATGTATTAGGGGACTGCCAGCCAGAAATTAACCCAAAAGGTCGCCAAAAAAATTGAAAGCTTTACATCCCCGAATTGCCATCCTCACGGTGTGACGTCATTATTGCGCCGTTAAAAATAGACCCACACCGTACCTCCGTGCTATCGAGCATAACGCATGTAGCTGGGACGCTTGCCAAATCAAAAAACACGTCTAACCGCAAGTCGCGTTTTGATCCGTCACGCGCGTGTGTGGGCATTCTCGATGGCTAACAAAATACTGTATCAATTCAGACACCATAGTGTGGTTGCAAATTGTCTCCTGGCGTGGTGTCTTGGCGTGTGTAGATTTAACCACACATCTTCCGTTGTTTAAAAAAAGGGCGGGAGGGGGACCCACTGAGGCGCAGACGAGCTGTTCATCGAATCGAATTTGCGCCTCGACTTGGGTGGTTGGCATATTTTGAACACAACACCAACTGTCACCGAATAACTTTAGAATGATATAATTTTAAAAAATACATGATTGGGGAGGGGGCGTAGTTGGAAGGAATGTGTGTACGGGGACGGCAGGCTGAAAAGAATTCGTGGATATCATCCCAGAACTCAGGACGTTCTTTGTGAATTCCTGTAATTATATTATTTTTAGAAAAAAAATACATACTATGAAGATAGCTTGCGAATGACAGGAAATGTTGAGAAGGATTAGAACTTCACGTAGCAGGTATAGTTAATTACCAATTAACCAATGACCAATACGGGTGATTCACAATAGTGCGCCTCCAAGAGTTTGCAACGCCTTGGCCAATCACGATGCGTGAAATCCGTCGACCCGGTGCGCGTTTGGAATGGTACACAGATTTTGCATGTTATGATTGGCTGGCCAACGCGTTGCAAACTCTTGGAGGCGCACTATTGTGAAACGCTCATATTAAGTTCACATGGATCCCCCTTTCAAAGAATCTTGTAATTTCAAAAGGAAATGTTCCTCCCTTTAGTTGTTATTTTGTCCTACGCTCAGAAGATGAAAATGATGTCAAGAAACAGAAAAACTAACCTTACTTATACGCGTACAGTGAGTTGTCCGTATCGACAAGTTATTTATGAAAATCGTAGCTTTTGAGCAATGCCCTTTGCGGAATGCAGACGGAATTAAGAGTTTCAAATCGCTATCATGTGCCTTTGAAGTGGCTAGTTAACCAACGCCTGAATTACTCCCCGGAATGCCCCCCTCCTCCCCTCGAAGGAGGGAGCGAACTGAGAAGGCCGATCAGTGGACAGGTTTAATTCGACCCGAAGGCCACTGGTCTTTAGCTTAGTCACCGGTGAAAAAAGGCTGTCGTTACTGCGTCCAGCCGTGTGTCACAGGGTATGGAGGCTATGGACGCAAGACAGGCGTCCACACTTGTCGGATTGACAAGCTGACATTCTCACCTTGGTGGTCATTCCAGGAAGAGAGGGCACAGATCAAATGACAAATCAAAGTGACACAGCCAATTACATCTGACTCGCTGGTGACGCATCACTTTTGTGATCGTTGCTCCATGGCGTTATTCCCCGAGCCAAAATGCAAAATGGCCAGGCGCACTGACAGACGAAGTTATGCGTCCAGCACTGGAAATTAACCAGATCGCAGAAAACAAAATCTTCCGGTACGAACGTGATTGACAGCTTGTCAAAAAAAAAACATGACGGAGTTTCGCTGGTCATATTAACAAGACATTTCATCAGACTGACCCATCCTGTCAGTTGGGCAAGACGCCCTTTAAGCCTTTGTCAGCGCAACAGGGTTTTTGTTTTCTTTGGGAGGGTGACGATCTGAGCAGGCTACTGTACGGGTTGGTTCATCTCTTTCAAAACACAAAGTATCGCTTCAAATCCTGACATTGCGAAACCAAACCCTTCAGACTTACCACAAACTAGACCTGTAATATTACATCCAATTGTACGCATCATGATTAGCCATTATCATTCATTTTTATAGCAAAATCCTTCTCTTCCACTCCAACAATATGCAATACGAGTGATCCACAATAGTGCGCCTCCAAGAGTCTGCAACGCGTTGGCACATCACAACACGCGAAATCTGTCGACCCTTTCCAAACGTGCATCGACAGATTTCGCGCGTTGTGATTGGCCAACGCGTCGCAAACTCTTGGAGGCGCCCGTATTTAATTCAGTTGTGTCCAACAGCAGCATCAACCAACCTGTCTAGGATTTGACAGTTTTTTCCTGAGCAAAGGTTTCTATTGGTAATCTCATCTGTATAAAGCCATATGTGATGCACAAGCTACCGGTAATCGTTTTATCTGGTTTTTATTCACACACACACAAAAAAACTCAAACGGTGATGTAGCAGAGCTTGCTTCGGAGTGAAAGGCTGACTTCGTTTGGATTTTTTTGCAAGCTCCGCTCTAAACACTGTTGCAGATTTTCAAGTGTCAACCCGATCAATGGCGAGTTTCTCAGCGGATTACGATTTTCCGGCCGCTGAGCGCATTGTACCCTAATATCGGTCCGGGCGCGGTGTGCGACCGTGGTGGCAGGATTTGTAAGGCACCCGCGCGACGGGGGCCGCGTAGGACGGCCCATCCGCTCTTCCGCTGGCTGGCTGTCAAAAGAAGAGCGAGCGATCGAGAGAATGAATAAAGAAAAACGGCCCCAAGGACACGGTGTCAGCACTCCAAGTACCAGACTGACTAATTATTCGCTAGATTGGATTTGAAGCTTTCGAAATCACAGAAATCCGAGTTGATTGTGTCGCAAGGTCTCCTAATTTCGTGACATCCAGTACATCATACAAGAAATCAAGGCTTATGGTTCGAAACCATCAAATCTAACCGATCTGATCGAACTCTCACTTGATCAAGCAAAGCATGTCTACGAATTGGGCGACTGGCTTGCTAGCGCCATCTTTGAAAAAGGGGAAGATGGGCTCATTCAGCAAGGAAAACATGCAGCACGGGCCCCATGCTTACAACCTTGTTTAGCTTCTTTTTCCATTCAGTAAGTGGTACCAAAAAATCGGTAAAAGCGTGGTGCAGATCGGAAGCTTGAGATGGATGCTGACCGTACCAGCACACGGGAGTGTGCAAATAGGACAATAAACACATGGGGTCTGCGCAAGATTTGCTCAAATCTTAACAGACAGGCATGGCCACATATTACACGATCATCATAATGCATACGACCATGCGCAGAAATGTGGGCATATGAGGCGATATAGAACCGGGGCGGTGGTAATTTGGTATACGGATAGCTGACACACAAGGACAGAGACGTACAGTGGGGAACGGTGGTAAATTGGCCGTGTGTGTCGGTTTGGCATTGTGACATAGTTCGGAGCTGGGTCGATACATGTGAACCCAACCTGTCTAGACAAGACTCATTCGTAAACCGCGTCAAAGTCGCTCAGCACTACAATAAAGATGACGCACGACATAATTCATGTATAGCAAAGGTATTGGGACTAAGTTAAGTTGGGTGTGAGGAGGTGTGCCGGTTTGCCTACTTTTTTGACCATGCGAAATAATTATTACCAAAGTAACAGGATCTCGCGCGGGCTGGACGAGCCAGTGATGGCGTTTTTAGTATCTACGTATACGATCAAACAGTTTTCGGTTTCTTTTTTTTAATGCGAAGCCTAATAGAGAGTCGACGAAGCAGTGCATCAAACCCCAGAGAACGGATCAAACAAAGCCATCGCACTTAATGTCTTACCAGTACTGTGTAACGCAATCTGTGAGATCTCAAATGGCAATGGAAAAGGATAGAATAACCCGAGGCTTGCCTGTATCTCCGTCGGCAATCAAGAGCAGGGAAGGTGCTTCACACATGACTTTTCAACCATAATCTCACTTTGCCGAGGGACTTGGGAATATGAGAACTACACTGAATAAAGATTGAGTCTGCAAATCTATTAAATGTATACCGACAATGTTATTTCACACAGGCCTACACCAGCCCCCTCGGTAAAAAAAAAAATACACAAAAACAAAGAACACCACACATCGATGAAAGCAAATCGCTGCCACTGGCGCAGCCTATCTAGATTGAGATCAAAGTGTGTCATGCGAAGCAAATGGACATGCACAGTTCACATTTCTGTTCTTTTTTCTTCTGGAACTCGACATAGAAACTCACCCTCCGACCAGCCTCGTTGTTATGCAGGTTAGACTTCATTCGAGAGTACATGTAGGTCCCCCGGGGCGCGTTAGACTCCTTTTCCCGCGCGTCCACGAACTCCTTGGCGAAACGGTAGCCGTAGTCCACGTTGTCCCCGCAGCCTCCCCACACCCAGTCCCGGTCCAGGTCCGGAGGACGGTGCGCCCGGCTGCAGCCACAGGGCGACAGCTCCCCCTCCCGGCAGGCCCGGCTGATGGCGTTCACCACGCCCGCGGCGGATATGGCGTAGGTGAAGGCCGCCTCCCGACTCGCTGGGATGGGATCGCGATATGAGAGGTTCCACCGGATGAATCGGAGACACGACGGCGCAGATGATTGGTTGGAAGTTCGGCGATATCATGGAGAGCATGGAATAAAAGAGGACAGCAAAACGAAAGAAGATTAACCAATTTCCCAAGTTTTTTTTCGGGGGAGGGGTAGACCGGTGATATTCACTCTGAGCTGATTATAAATTGCAGAAACGAGCAATCAAACGAAAATGGCTGAACAAAGACCTCAATATGGGCTTTTTGTTTCAGATTTTGTTTTCTGAGGAGCTGAAATTAACCATGTGGAGAAAATGGAAATAAACAGTATCCAACATTTCGCTTGAGCGTAAGCAACCATGCATGTCAAAGTAAATACTTCAACTGTGGGAATTTACGTCATCGATAATATGTTGAGAGATAGTGAACAATGCTTTCAAAGAAAAGTGTATGGACAACTTCATCAGTCCACGAGGAATCGAAAATGGCCATATAAAAATTTGGGCTGGTGTCAGATATTTTTGTTACAAGTCAAAATCAACTCCATTTAACTGTGTATCTGGCCGGATCTCTCTTCCCGACGGGACCCGACAATCAGACTCGTACCAGCCTTTACTGCTCCTGATAAAGTCGGCTTTGACAGCTGAGGGAAATTTGTGAGGGTTTTTACCGCTCAACATTCGCACGGGAAACATTGACATCATACATCGGATATGCACCGTGTCATCCCACAGGTGGGACTCAGCTTAGAACCGCCGTGCCATCCATCATGTCGTTCTCCTCCTGCACCACTTCCAACATGTGGATCCAATTTATCAGACTTCCCGAATTTCCGAAATCCAATCTGTCTTTTTCAGACCGCAAATAATGCCCCTTTTTCGCTAAAAGATAACTGCACCCGCCTTATGTTCGTACATGAAACCAGTTTACAATGACCTCCAATGGTGTTCAAAATTAAGAAATGACGTATTTCACAAAAGTGTTTTGAGGAAGAATTCCCACAAGCTTCTCTCACGCGTTTAAAAGGGGTTTCAGGATATAAATTCTGTCCTTTCAACAATCAGGTCTGCAGATTGCTTTTTCCCGACACGGTTCAATTCCACGCGCGGTGATGATCAACGCATCTTACAGACCATTAGCTATTAAACAAGACAGAGAAGGAGACCATTTCAAACTCTTCATGACGAGGAAATGCTTGCGGCTTTGTTTGGTCTCTGGAGACAGCCAAGTGTACTACTGACAAACGTTTGGGGGGATTATTGTACGTAGGGCTTAACTTCGACGGGCAGAGCAACTGAAAATTGATATGATTTGACTGCACAGAGTAAGATACTTTTCACTGAAAAATATTGAGATGAACCATCCGCAAGGGAGTCTTCAGACATGTATTTGACCCAACTCTTGAACGTATGTTGACTCGTGTCACGCCATAGATTTGTGGTACATGTAGTTTGGCCGCGCACCTAACGCCGTGGATGGAGGGACAGTCCGCCATTCGGTGTAGCATAAAATTTGGGTTTCACGACTCATTGCCGCTGGTTGTATCGCGCATGTCTGAAGCGTGACGCGGAAGAGATGTCTATCTGGATCTCGTAGGCCTACTGGATTTTGTACAGGTCTACAGATTTCGTTGTGACACCAAAGGGTGATCTGTGAGTGAATCACTCAGCTCCGTGGTTACACTTCAAGTAACTCAGTCAAATTAGCTGATCATACCACTACTTTTTCATGCAAAACGTGCAGACTAGAAGGCTATCTACAGCAATCGAAAATTGAAAACGCCTTCCTCGTTGCAGGCACATTGCGATTGAGGTGAATAAACATATCGGCGTTGTAACAAAAACGAACTCAAACAACCACTGCACCAAACATTGCCCGTACGGCAGCCTGGACAAGTCCCGGCCGCAAAAAGATTAACTTGCTAATTTCCTAAATCCACACCGATTGTGGGTTTAATCTGCTCGGTCAACAACACACAAGAGGCGGGCTAAGATTAATAGGATTTGCCTGGTGAGGGATACAGCGACATTAATTATTCAGCAGGCTTCGATGCTTTGTGTATGTGTGTGTGTCTGGCGGGGGGGGGGTTGCATGCAGGAAATAGCCAGGTAATCGTTATCCACGGGTATTGTTTACCTGTCGCTTTTAAGAAAGGAGAGGATGTATTATTATATTGGCAAGCAAGTACGGCACCACGATCCTTGTTTCATATACCCTATACACGTAGTGTATAAATATGCACTGTAATGTCTGCATACCTTGTCGATACACTATACAGCAACAGCGATAAAGATTCGGATTACGGAGAAGTCCAGGGACTTCAGTCTGTGCTATGAAATAACTTCCATAGAAACAAAAAATGTGCGTAAATTTTGGAAGAGCAGGATGGAGAAAGGGAAGTTGGCTTGACAAGGACGTAGTAGTTTACAAGGTCTAATGTGTGGAAATTAGACTGAATTTGTAGAAATCATACCGACTCGTTAAGTTTTTTCTCTAATTGTAGTTGCTGCTGTGACGATGCCGAGTCGTTGTCAAATCAACCCGTCAAATCGCAAAAAGCTCATTACGGAGGAAATAAACAACGGCAGTTACTCTGTCATAGATTACGGATGGCTTGTCTCTTGATGTGATCGTGGATGACTCGTGGGTGGCCTTATATAGTTGGTTGAGAAAACGGATCAACTTTGGAAAACTAAAATGAAGAATTGTATTTGTCAGACCTACTGATGTTCCACCGTTTTTCGCGGTAACACAAACATATTTCGTATCTCCAGTTCAGTGATTGATACGCCTTTTTCTGAAGGCACAATTCTCTGCAAATGCAAGTGGCCATATCTCGAACAATAATACAAGCAAGCCATCCCGGAGAGAAATATGAAATCCAAACATAACCAGATAACGTGATGTTTACGTGTGCATAATTGTGTTTGAAGTTGACGGCAACTCGCAACACGTGAAGTGGATTAGAGCTGGGAACGAAGTGCACGCCTTGCACATAATCACCTTCGTATACTTCCGACATACGGGTGCTATACATCAAGATAAATGAGAATAACTTTGTGGAAATCGAGACACCAAATCCAAAAATCAGCTCAGCGGGAAATGTCGAAGGCCACAGCACGCAATCACGATTGCAAATGGTTTCATTTTTCCGCCTTCATACACCCTCAGGCTACTGAGGTTCATGTGACTGATTTTGCGCCAAAATTGCCTGCACGGACCATATCCCATTTCGCACGTAATTTTTTTTACATAGAGTAGAGGTGTTGAGAAGAAAAGTATTGAGATACTGTGAGAAAACGAAATGTCTATAGGAACAAGGGTGGTGAACGAAATAGCATGCACTTTCCCGGCATAGCGAACTCGAAATTTGCATCTTACATACCCTTCACGAGACGAGACTTGAGATGACAAAATGGTTGTTTTTCATTGCAGCTTAAAAAAAATACAAATAAATATTGAAAAACAGTTGCCCGGTCAACATTAAACTGAAGAGACAAACACAGTCCTATAAGTTTCAGATGATCTTAAATGTTTGAGCAAACTTATTTTCAAATACAAATCTCTGATTCGTCGGAAAAGACTCTGGTATTGGCCAATCTTAACTGGTTTCCTTCTTCCACGAATGCTGTGTGTCACATTATTACAAAGTGACCTCAACTTTATGGAATAAATCGTCATTCATTATACAATGAAAAGATTTCGAAACAAAGCTTTGTAAACACCGCAGCAGTTTTTGTTTGGCTAAAGTAATACAACCTTTGTTAGGTATAGATCCAATACAAGTCAAGAGACAGATTTAAATCATTATAATTAAACAGAAGAATATTTACCCATGCACACGGTGTCCCAACTCCTAATCAATTGCAAACGTATCGCACTAACAGCCTCCGTGTCGTGAAGAAATTTCAACAAAAGACGATGTAATATAGGATAAAGGACTTGGTAATGAACACAGGTTAACAAGATAGTGGTAATGGTCGGGCAAACAAAACACTGACACAGTAACCCTATAAACATGTAAACATGGTGAACAAGTACACTGTTTCAAACTGTAACTAAATTGATTGGGGTGTTAGGGGATAGGATGAAAATAAAAGGAGGACTGATTTGGGGGATCCAAATGTTGACATTTTCAGAAGTTTAACTTGTAGATTTTCCAGAAACAAGTGAAAACTTTCCGGGATACGATGAATGTGACATGTCAGATAACCGCTTCACTCATAAAAAAGTCGAAAAAAAGTTATTTGCTAAAAATAAGGTCAATTTCAGGAGCTGAACCCTTTTGGGCGGGAGGCGTAAAACCAAAACCTGAAACGAACGAACAAACCAAACCGCACAAACCGAAACAACAAAACCAGAGAATCCCCCCCCCAGCCCTGCACGTAAACGATGAAAATGTCATCAGAAATATCACACTTCAGATTTAAATACTCCAATAATATGTTGAGTATTTTTCTCTGTTTCAATATCATTTTGATTGTACCGTTTTGACTTTTTCCAAATATATCTAGATTTCTAAGTTTGATATTTCCTGAGACCATTTTTAAAACGTGGCTGCATTGGTGTTTGTGCAAAGCAGCCAGTCACGAGCGCGGGCGTTTTTATATGACGATTAAACTATTTGTGAGCTGCTCTGGGTGGACTATTAAGGGAAAAAATAATCGAAATCGCCGGAAACGATACTTCCTGAAATCCTTTGAAAATGTGATACGATTTCCCACCCTACAAATCTTCTTATTTTTTCTCCCACGGTATAATTTGTGATACGGTTAAACAACTTCAGGCAAAGACGCTCGTTGAAATTCTGCTAACCAAGGGCACAATATTTCTCCTCGGTAATTTCCCTCAACACTTTCTTTCTCCCAGTTCAGTTCAAATTTTTCTTACCCCTAGATCCTATTGATGTGAATTGTTTGTCTGCCTTTCTTTGGGCGCCAGGATTGTCATAATTTGTGGAGGCCTCTAGTGATACTTACTGCAACGGCACCAAAATAATTCATCGG